ACAAGTCAATGAATCCCAGTACTAAGTTGTGTATATTATGCAGTGTAATACTGCACAGCAGTGAAAGTGAAGGAACTACAGGGACACACATTAACATGGATAAATATCAGATACATAATATTTAGTTAAGGGAATACATGCCTTATGATTCAAAAACAGGTAAAATTTACTATGTAATGCCGGGTGTGGTGGCTCATGCCTGTAATATAGCACTTTGGGAGGCCGAGGTGGGCAGATCACTTGAGGTCAGGAGTTCGCGACCAGCCTGGCCAACATGGCAAAACCCTGTCTCTACTAAAAATACAAAAATTAGCTGGTTGTGGTGGCACGTGCCTGTAATCCCAGCTACTCAGGAGACTGAGGCAGGAGAAGCGCTTAAACCTGGGAGGCGGAAGTTTCCGTGAGCTGAGATCATGGCACTGTACCTGGGTGATAGAGTCATCTCAAAACAAAACAAAACAAAACAATTAATATGTAATTTAAACATGCATAGGTAGTAAAACTTTTTAAAAAGTGATGTTGTGATTTTTTTGCCAGCCACAAGAATGGTTGATAGATATAATCTATTAGAGGCATGCAAGGGCTTCCAAGGTGTTGACAATGTTTTATAAATTTGGGGATTTTTTTGTTTTGTTTTGTTTTGTTTTGTTTTTAACAGGGTCTTGCTCTGTTGCCCAGGCTGGAGTTCAGGGGTGTGATCATAGCTCACCACAACCTCAAACTCTTGAATTCCTGGGTTCAAGCAGTCCTCCCACCTCTGTCTCCGGAGGACAAATGTGAACTAGGTGTTTACTGTGTGGTTTTGGCAGAGTTGTTTAATATTTTTAATTTTTTTCATTAAAAAATTACTATATTTTAGAGACTAGGTCTTGCCCTGTTACCCAGGCTGAAGTGCCTGGTACCCACGATCTCAGCTCACTGCAATCTCCGCCTCCCAGGTTCAAGTGATTCTTGTGCCTCAGCCTCCCCAGTAGCTGGGATTACAGGCGTGAGCCACCGTGCTTGGCCTTTTGTGTGGTTTTAACAGAGTTGTTTAATGTTTTATAAATTGAATGTATATTTCTTATATGTTCTATATGAAATATTTCACAATAGAACATTTTGAAAATACATTTTGTGAAGTCGAATGGGGAAGAGCAATGATGGAACATTGTTGATTATCCACAATTTTTTAAAAAAATGTTTAGTTTAAGAGATGGCTGTTCATGGGCACAATCACAGTGCACTGCAGCCTCTAACTCCTGGGTTCAAGTGACCCTCTTGCTCTGGCTTCCTGTGTAGCTAGGACTACTATGCCCAGCTCCACAGATATTTTAAATTATCTCATATGTACAATGAGTCCAGGTGCCTGGAACATAGAAGGTGCTAAGATATTTATGGGCCAGGCATGATGGCTCACACCTGTAATCCCAGCACTTTTGGAGCCCGAGGCACGTGGGTCACCTGAGGTCAGGAGTTCAAGACCAACCTGGCCAACATGGCAAAACACTGTTTCTACTAAAGGTACAAAAATTAGCTGGGCGTGGTGGCGGGTCCCTGTAATCCCAGATACTTAGGAGGCTGAGGCAGGAGAATCACTTGAACTGGGAAGGTGTAGGTTGCAGTGAGCCACGATCATGCCATTCCACTCCAGCCTGGGCAACAGAGCAAGACTCCGTCTCAAAAAAAAAAAAAAAAAAGAAAAAGAAAGATATTTATATTTATGGAAAGAAGGGAGTAATGTGAAATCAGAACCTATTATTAATATTATGGTGCTTATGATTAAGTTAGAGGTTTAAATAAGACATAACCATGGGAAGATAACATATGCTCTTATAAGGACTTTTTGATAATTATAGGCAGTAAGTGCTATAAACAAATCTGTGAAGAAAGTGGTATTTATGAATATGATAAATAATGATATGATGGCTTTATGTCTTATTTTTATGTCACATTTTCCAGGTGCCCCGATCCTGTTAATGCCATCATTTCCTTATCTGTTGTATATTTTTCTTTCAAAATATAACCACATGTCATTTTTGAATGATATGATAAGTGCTTGGGGATATCTAGCAGAGGAATTGGTATTTGAAGAAGTACTTGACTAATAATAATATTAATTGCTAACATTTATTGAACATTTAATACACCCTGTTGAGTACTTAATGTATATTAACTCACTGAGTTATCTTCTTAAGAACCATATTTTTTAAAAGGCTACTAGCGGCCAGGCGTGGTAGCTCATGCCTGTAATCCCAGCACTTTGGGAGCTGAGGCGGGTAGATCATGAGGTCAGGAGTACAAGACCAGCCTGGCCAAGATGGTGAAACCCCGTCTCTACTAAAAATACAAAAATTAGCCGGGTGTGGTGGTGGGCGCCTGTAATCCCAGCTACTTGGGAGGCTGAGGCAGGGAATTGCTTGAACTTGGGAGGAGGAGGTTGCAGTGAGCTGAGATCGTACCACTGCACTCCAGCCTGGGTGACAGAGCAAGATTCCACCTCAGGAAAACAAAAACAAAAACAAGCAAACAAAAAAACGCTATTAGCTAAGTGAGAGTTAGAGGGGTTGGCAAAGTAATTGTCCATGGTTACACAGCTAGTAAGTGGCAAAGTTGGGGAATACAAGCAGTTAGACCTCAGAGCTTTTGCTCCAGACCACTGTAGTTTATGGTCTCTTTGTGGTTATATTTACAAAGAAAAATAAATAACAGGTAAAGAAATGATGGCATTAACAGGACTAGGGCACCTGGAAAATCTGACAAAAAAATAAGACATAAAGCTAGTAAGATTATTTGGAGCCAGATTTTTTTTTTTTTTTTTTTTTTTTTTTTGAGATGGAGTCTTGCTCCGTCACTCAGGCTGGAGTGCAGTGGCACAATCTCGGCTCACTGCAACCTCCACCTCCCGGGTTCAAGTGTTTTTCCTGCTTTAGCCTCCTGAGTAACTGGGCTTACCACACGTGCCATCACACCTGGCTAATTTTTGTATGTTTAGTAGAGACAGGGTTTTACCATGTTGGCTAGGCTGGTTTTGAACTCCTGACCTCAAGTGATCCACCCATCTTGGCCTCCCAAAGTGCTGGGATTACAGGTGTGAGCCACTGTGCCTGGCCAGAAATGCCATCTTTCTAAATTTGCCTTTCTAGTTAAAATCTTTACTGGGGCAGGAAAAACAACAGTGTTCATATTTCATAAGTTATCTTCTCTTTTGGATTAGAAAGATACAAGAATCACCATAAATGAAGATGTAGTGTTTTAAAAATTAAGTAGATTTCATTTTCTTTTCTTTATTTCTTTTTTTTTTTTTTTTTTTTTTTTTTTTTTTTTTTGAGACAGAGTCTCACTCTGTCACACAGGGTGGAGTGCAGTGGCACGATCTGGGCTCACTGCCACCTCCACCTCCTGGGTTCAAGCCATTCTCCTGCCTCAGCTGCCCTCCCCACCCCCAGCCGATTAGGTGGGATTACAGGTGCCCACCACCATGCTAAGCTAATTTTTTTTTTTCTTTGGAGACAGAGTCTCGCTCTGTGCAATCTTGCTCACTGTAACCTCTGCCTCCCGGGTTCAAGCAGTTCTCCTGCCTCAGCCTCCTGAATAGCTGGGATTATAGGTGCGTGCCACCATGCCTGGCTAATTTTTGTATTTAGTAGAGACATGTTGGTCAGGCTGGTCTTGCACTCCTGACCTCAAGTGATCCGCCCACCTCAGCTTCCCAAAGTGTTAGAATTATAGTTGTGAGCCACCACGCCCAGCTATTAGATTTCATTTTCTAAAAGAACATGAAAAGTTGAGATGAGATAGATATAGAGGATATTTTAAGTAATTTTTTACGTCCATATGGTACATAACTTTCAGCTATATAGTGCTTTTTTAAAAACTCCAGTATGAGGCCACATGTGGTGGCTCATGCCTATAATCACAGCACTTTGGGAGGCCGAGGTAGGTGGATCAGTTGAGGTCAGGAGTTCGAGACAAGCCTGGCCAACATGGTGAAACCCCATCTCTCCCCAAAAATACAAAATTTAGCTGTGTGTGATGGTGTGTGCTTGTAGTGCCAGCTACTCAGGAGGCTGATGTGGGAGAATCGAACCTGAGAGGCAGACGTTGCAGTGAGCTGAGATGGCACCACTGCACTCCAGTCTGGGCAACGGAGTGAGATCCTATCTCAGAAAAAAAAAAAAGTCCAGTATGAGTTAGTAAGTGCTACATAGTAGTGACATTGTATTCAACAGGTGAAACAACTGGTCATTTAGTACATAGTTTATTTTTTTGTGTGGGTCAAGAACTTGTTTGTGATTGAAACCCAGTCCCTCACAATATTAGAAGTAAATACATTTTCACTCTTAGACTCCTGAAACAGACACATAAATTCTCAGAGTTCTAAGTCTTCATTCATTTTGGTCTTTCTTTTTTTTTTTTTTTTTTTGAGACGGAGTCTTGCCAGGCTGGAGTGCAGTGGCGTGATCTTGGCTGACTGCAACCTCCGCCTCCCAGGTTCAAGTGATTCTCCTGCCTCAGCCTCCCAAGTAGCGGGGACTATAGGCATGTGCTGCACGCCCAGCTAATTTTTGTATTTTTAGTAGAGACAGGATTTTACCATGTTGGCCAAGATGGTCTTGATCTCTTAACCTCGTAACCTGCCTGCCTTGGCCTCTCAAAATTCTGGATTACAGGCGTGAGCCACCATGCCCGGCCTCATTTTGGTGTTTCTAAGAAGGCAGAGAGCTGACTTTCATTGCCTTGGGCCTTCATAACACATGGGAATTTGGGCAAAAGGGGGTGTTAGTTTCTATTGTTATACAATTTTTTGAGGTAGCTATGTGAAAGTTGGCAAGTCACAGTGACAAGGCTTCCTTCAGATTATACAGGTTAGAAAAGTCTGTTCATCTCCAAAATGCCAGACATAAAGATACATGGATACTTTAATATAGTACTAAGAATATACAATAGAGTTTTAAGGAGTTAAGGCACAGTGGTTATGGTAATCTTGATCCAAATATAGTATTTTGTTTCCTTTTTAGATTACCATGTATCTGCAAACTCCAGAATAGTTATTGTCACAGCAGGTGCAAGGCAGCAGGAGGGAGAAACTCGCCTTGACCTGGTCCAACGTAATGTGACTATCATGAAATCAATAATTCCTGCCATAGTCCATTATAGTCCTGATTGTAAAATTCTTGTTGTTTCAAATCCAGGTGAGTCTTCTGTCTTACATTCTATTGCATAAGGATGATCTTTCCATACCATTCCTTTAAAAGAATCAACTTCACTGAGGTAACATTTATGTACAATAAATTGCACTCATTTAAAGTATATAATGCAATGAGTTTTGATAAAAGTAATCACTCATGAAACTACCACCATGATCAGGATACAAAACATTTCAGTTACCTCTGAAAGTTTTCTTGTGCCTCTTTGCAGTTCATCTCTCATTCTGCCCTGGCCCCATTTTCTGGAATTTTATATGAATGGAATCATGCTGAATGTAATTTTTTCTACCTGACTTCTTTCACCCAGCATAATTATTTTGGAATTCATCCATATTATTGAGTGTATCATGTTGTTCCTTTTTTAATGCCAAAGTATTCTTTTGTTTATACATTTTTCTTTTTTTTTTTTTTTTTTTTTTTTTTTTTGAGATGGAGTCTCACTCTGTCCCCCAGGTGGGAGTGCAGTGGTATAATCTTGGCTCAGTGTAACCTCTGCCTCCCAGGCTCAACTGATCCTCCCACCTCAGGCTCCGCAGTAGCTGGGACCGCAGGCATGTCCCACCACACCCAGCTAATTTTTGTATTTTTGGTAGAAGTGGGGTTTCACTATTTTGTCCAGGCTGGTCTGGAACTCCTAAGCTCAGGCAGTCTACTCGCCTTGGCCTCCCAAAGTGCTGGGATTACAGATGTGAGCCACTGCACCCAGCCATTATTTATACATTTAAATTGCTATTTTATTCATGTGTTTTTTGTTTATCCATCTGTTGAAACATATTGAGGTTATTTCCAGTTTTGGACTCTTATGAATGAAACTAATATCATAATTTGTGTGTAAGTATTTGTGTGGTCATATGTCTTTGTTTCTCTTGGGTAAATACCTGGGAGTAACATAGGTAGGTTATATCGCAGGTATATGTTTAACTCCACCAGATATTACCAAACCGGTTGGGCATTGTGGCTCATGCCTGTAATCCTAGCACTTTGGGAGGCTGAAGCAGAAGGATCGCTTGAACCTAGGAGTTTGAGACCAGTGTGGGCAACATAGGGAGACCTTGTCTGTACATAAAATAAAGTTAAAAAGCTGGGTATGAAGATTGCATAAGCCTGAGAGGTCTAGGCTGCAGTGAGCTGTGGTTGTGCCACTGCACTCCACCCTGAGTGGCAGAGTGAGACCTTGTCTCAAAACAAACAAACAAACACAAACAGAAACAAACAACCAAAAAAGAAAAAAAAAAGTTTTAAATTTTAGCCAATCCAGGCCAGGCATGGTGGCTCACACCTGTAATACCAGCAACACTTTTGGAGCCTAAGGCAGGTGGATTACTTGAGGTCAGGAGTTCAAGACTAGCCTGGCCAACATAGTGAAACCCCATCTCTACTAAAAATACAAAAATTAGCTGGGCATGGTGGCAGCCCCCTTTAATCTCAGCTACTTGGGAAGCTGAGGCAGGAGAATCACTGGAACCCTGGAGGTGGAGGTTGCAGTGAGCTGAGATCACGCCAGTGCACTCCAGCCTGGGTGACGAGAGCCAGACTCTGTCTCTAAATAAATAAATAAATGAATAAGGCAGGTGCGGTGGCTTACGCCTATAATCCCAGCACTTTGGGAGGCTGAGGTGGTGATCGCTTGAGGTCGGGAGTTTGAGACCAGCCTGACCAACATATAGAAACCCCATCTCTATTAAAAATACAAAATTAGCCAGGTGTGTGGTGGTGCATGCCTGTAATTCCAGCTACTCAAGAGGCTGAGGCAGGAAAATCACTTGAACCTGGGAGGTGGAAGTTGTGGTGAGTCGAGATGGTACCATTGCACTCCAGCCTGGGCAACAAGAGTGAAACTCTGTCTCAAAAAATAAAAATAAAAATAAATAAATAAAATAAAATAAAATAAATTTTAGCCAATCCAGTATCATTGTGTGTGTTTGTGTGTGTGTGTGTGTGTGTTTGTTTTGTTTTGTTTTTTGTTTTTGAGATGGAGTCTTTCTGTGTCTCCCAGGCTGGAGTGCAGTGGCATGACCTTGGCTCACCACAACCTCCCTGTTGCAGGTTCAAGTGATTGTCCTGTTCAGCCTCCCATTTTGCTGGGACTTCAGGTGCACACCACCACGCCTGGCTAGTTTTTGTATTTGTATTTTTAGTAAAGACGAGGTTACACCATGTTGGCCAGGCTGGTCTCAAACTCCTGACCTCAGGTGATCTGCCTGTCTTGGTCTCCCAAAGTACTGGGATTACAGGCATGAGCCACCGCGCCCAGCTAGGGTTTTCAAGGTAAATGATCATATCGTCAGCAAACAGGGATAGTTTGACTTCCACTTTACCAATTTGGATGTCCTTTATTTCTTTCTCTTGTCTGATTGCTCTGGCTAGGACTTCCAGTAAGTAGTATGTTGAAGAAGAGTGGTGAGAGTGGGCATCCTTGTCTTGTTCCTGTTCTCAGAGGGAATATTTTCAACTTTTCTCCCATTCAGTATTATATTGGCTGTGGGATTGCCATATATGGCTTTTTTTTTTTTGAGATGGAGCCTGGCGTGATCTCGGCTCACTGCAACCTCTACCTCCTGGGTTCAAGCAATTCTCCTGTCTCAGCCTCCCAAGTAGCTGGACCACAGGTGCACATTACCACACTCAGCTGTTTTTTGTATTTTTAGTAGAGACAGAGTTTCACCATATTGGCCTGGCTGGTCTTGAACTCCTGACCTCAGGTGATCCACCCGCCTCGGCCTCCCAAAGTGCTGGAATTACAGGTGCGAGCCACCATGCCTGGCCCATAGATGGCTTTTATTACATTAAGGTATATCCCTTGTATGCTGATTTTGCTGAGGGTTTTAATCATGAAAGGATGCTGGATTTTGCTGAATGGTTTTTCTGCATCTATTGAGATGATCATGTGATTTTTGATTTTAATTCTGTTTATGTAGTTTATCACATTTATTGACTTGTGTATGTTGAACCATCTCTGCATCCCTGGTAGGAAATCCACTTGATCATGGTGGATTATCTTTTTGACATGTTGTTGGATTCGGTTAGCTAGTATTTTGTTAAGGATTTTAACATCTATGTTCATGGAGGATATCGGTCTGTAGTTTTCTTTTTTGATTGTGTCCCTCCCTGGTTTTGGTATTAGGGTGATACTGGTGATAGAATGAATTAGGGAAGGTTCCTTGTTTCTCTGTCCTGTGGAATAGTGTCAAAAGGATTGGTACCAATTCTTCTTTGAGTGTCTGGTAGAATTCTGCTGTGAATCTATCTGGTCCTGGACTTCTTTTTGTTGGTAATTTTTAATTACCATTTCATTCTCGCTGCTTGTTATTGGTCTATTCAGGGTATCTAATTATTCCTGATTTAAGCCAGGAAGGTTGTATATTTCCAGGAATTTATCCATCTCTTCTAGGTTTTCTAGTTTATGTGCGCAAAAGTGTACATAGTAGCCTTGAATGATCAGTGGTGTCAGCTGTAATATCTCCTGTTTCATTTCTTAATGAGGTTATTTGGATTTGCTCTTCTTTTTTTTGAAACGGAGTTTTGCTGTTTCACCCAGGCTGGAGTGTAAGGGCGCAATTTCGGCTCAGTGCAACCTGTGCCTCCCAGGTTCAAGTGATTCTCCCACCTCAGCCTCCCGAGTAGCTGGGATTACAGGTATCTGCCACCATGCCCAGCTAATTTTTTTATTTTCAGTAGAGATGGGGTTTCATCACATTGGCCAAGCTTGTCTGGAACTCCTGACCTCAGGTGATCCACCTGTCTTGCCTCCCGAAGTGCTGGGATTAAGGTGTGAGCCACTGCACCCGGTCTGCTCTCTTCTTTTCTTGGTTAATCTTGCTAATAGTCTATCAATTTTATTTATCTTTTCAAATAACCAGCTATTTGTTTCATTTATGTTTTGTATTTTTTTGTTTCAATTTCATTTAGTTCTGCTCTGATCTTGGTTATTTCCTTTCTTCTGCTGGGTTTGGGTTTGGTTTGTTCCTGTGTCTCTAGTTCCTTGAGGTGTGACCTTAGATTGTCTGTTTATGGGCTTTCAGACTTTTTGATGTAGGCACTTAGGGCTATACGCTTTCCTCTTAGCATCACCTTAGCTGTATCCCAGTGGTTTTGATAGGTTGTATCATTACTGTCATTCAGTCAGAAGAATTTTTAACTTCTGTCTTGATTTCATTTTTGACCCAATGCTTATCCAGTAGCAGGTTATTTAATTTCCATGTATTTGCGTGGTTTGGAAGGTTCCTTTTGGAGTTGATTTCCAGTTTTATTCCACTGTGGTCTGAGAGTGCTTGATATAATTTCAATTTTCTTAAATTTATTGAGGCTCATTTTATGGCCTATCATGTGGTCTATCCTGGAGAAAGTTCCATGTGCTGTTGAATAGAATGTGTATTCTGTGGTTGTTGGATGAAATGTGCTGTATGTATCTGTTAAATCCATTTGTTCCAGGGTATAGTTTAAATCCACTGTTTCTTTGTTGACTTTCTGTCTTGATGACCTGTCTATTGCTGTCAGAGGAGTATTGAAGTCCCCCACTATTATTGTGTTGCTGTCTATCTTGTTTCTTAGATTTGTTAGTAAATGTTTTATAAATTTGGGAGCTCCAGTGTTAGATGCATATATGTTTAGGATTGTGATATTTTCCTGTTGGAAGAGCCTTTGACCATTATATAATGGCCCTCTTTGTCTCTTTTAACCACTGTTGTTTTAAAGTTTGTTTCGTCTAATACAAGAATCGCTACTCCAGCTCGCTTTTGGTGTCCATTTGCAGGAAATGCCTTTTTCCACCCCTTTAAGTTTATGTGAGTCCTTGTATGTTAGATGAGTCTCCTGAAGACAGGAGATAGTTGATTGGTTAGTTCTTATCCATTCTGCAGTTCTGTATCTTTTAAGTGAAGTGTTTAGGCCATTTACATTCAGTGTTAGTATTGAAATGCGAGATACCATTGTATTCATCGTGCTTTTCATTGCCTGTGTACTTTGGGTTTTTGTTTATTTGTTTTTGCATTTTAACTTGTGTTTTTGTTTTATAGGTCCTGTGTGATTTATGCTTTAAGGAAGTTCTGGGCCGGGCACAGTGGCTCATGCCTGTAATCCCAGCATTTTGGGAGGCCATGGTGGGCGGATCACCTGAGGTCAGGAGTTCAAGACCAGCCTGCCCAACATAGTGAAACCCTGTCTCTACTAAAAACGCAAAAATTAGCTGGACATGGTGGTGGGCACCTGTAGTCCCAGCTACTCGGTAGGCTGAGGCAGGAGAATTGTTTGAACCTGGGAGGCAGAAGTTGCCGCGAGCTGAGATCATGCCACTGCACTCCAGCCTGGGCGACAGAGTGAGAGGGGAACTCATCTCTCAAAAAAAGGGAAATTAAAAAAAAAAAAAAAAAAAAAAAAAAAAGGGTTCTGTTTTGATGTGTTTCAGGATTTTGTTTCAAGATTTGTAAAAAAAAGGAAATTAAAAAAAAAAAAAAAAAAAAAAGAGGTTCTGTTTTGATGTGTTTCCAGGATTTGTTTCAAGATTTAGAGCTCCATTTAGCAGTTCTTATAGTGGTGGCTTGGTAGTGGCAAATTCTCTCAGCATTTGTTTGTCTGAAAATGACTGTATCTTTCCTTCATATATGATTCTTAGTTTCACTGGATACAACATTCTTGGCTGATAATTGTTTTGTTTGAGGAGGCTGAAGATAGGGTCCCAATCCCTTCTAGGTTGTAGGGTTTCTGCTGAGAAATCTGCTGTTAATTTGATAGGTTTTCCTTTATAGGTTACCTGGTACTTCTGTCTCACAGCTCTTAAGATTCTTTCCTTTGTCTTAACTTTGGGTAACCTAATGACAGTGTGCTAAGCAAAGATCTTTTTGTGATGAATTTCCCAGGTGTTCTTTGTGCTTCTTGTATTTGCATGTCTAGGTCTCTAGCGAGGCCGGGGAGGTTTTCCTTGATTATCTCCCCAAATACCAAATATGTTTTCTAAGCTTTTAGAATTGTCTTCTTCCTCAGGAACACTGATTATTCTTAGGTTTGGTTGTTTATCGTAATCCCAGACGTCTTGGAGGCTTTGTTCATACCTTCTTATTCTTTTTCTTTGTCTTTGTTGGATTGGGTTAATTTGAAGACCTTGTGTTCGAGCTCTGAACTTCTTTTTCTACGTGTTCAATTCTATTGCTGAGACTTTCCAGAGCATTTCACAAATCTAAAAGTGTGTCCAAAGTTTCCTGAATTTTTTATTGTTTTTTCTTTAAGCTACTTATTTAGGTGAATATTTCTCCCTTCACTTCTTGTATCATTTTTTGGATTTCCTTGCATTGGGCTTCACCTTTCTCTGGTCCCTCCCTGATGAGCTTAATAGCTAACCTCCTGAATTATTTTTCAGGTAAACCAGGGATTTCTTCTTGGTTTGGATCCATTTCTGTTGAACTAGTGTGATTTTTGGGGGGTGTTGATGAATCTTATTTTGTTATATTACCAAGGTTGCTTTTCTGGTTCCTTCTTAGCCTCACAAGTAGCTGGGAATGTGAGTGTGTGCCACCATGTCTGGCTAATTTTTGTATTTTTTGGTAGAGACTGTTTCACCATGTTGGCCAGGCTGGTTTCAAAGTCTTGGCCTCAGGTGATCCACCCACCTAAGCCTCTTAAAGAGCTGGGATTACAGGCATGAGCCCCCACACCTGGCCAGTGATTTGCTTCACTTTGTAGTAAATCTGTATGTGACTCTAAAACAATTCATCTATCTGTTCAGGAAAAAAATTCTTTTTAAGTTACACTGAAAATTTTTCTAACATGAAATTTTTCTTCTTAGTGGATATTTTGACATATATAGTCTGGAAGATAAGTGGCTTGCCTATAACTCGTGTAATTGGAAGTGGTTGTAATTTAGACTCTGCCCGTTTCCGTTACTTAATTGGAGAAAAGTTGGGTGTCCACTCCACAAGCTGCCATGGTTGGATTATTGGAGAACATGGTGATTCTAGCGGTAAGTATAAATCTATTATGTGACTACCCTTCTTACCTCTAATAATTCTTATTTCCTTTAAAGTTTTTTTTTCCTGATATTAATATAGTTGTATAAGTTTCATTTTGTTGGTACTTTCCTGGTGTAACTTTTACTGTTCTTTTTTTTTTTTTTTTTTTTTAAGACAGAGTCTCGCTCTGTCGCCCAGGCTGGAGTGCAGTGGCCGGATCTCAGCTCACTGCAAGCTCTGCCTCCCGGGTTTATGCCATTCTCCTGCCTCAGCCTCCCGAGTAGCTGGGATTATAGGCGCCCGCCAACTCACCCGGCTAGTTTTTTTTGTATTTTTAGTAGAGACGGTGTTTCACCATGTTAGCCAGGATGGTCTCGATCTCCTGACCTTGTGATCCACCCGTCTCCGCCTCCCAAAGTGCTGGGATTACAGGCTTGAGCCACCGCTCCCGGCCCTACTGTTCTTTTACTTTCAATCTTTTGCATCATTGATTTAGCTATCTTTCATAAAATAGTCCACAAAACGTATAGCTGTTTTAAAGTCAATATGAGTGTTTCTCTTATCTGTAATACATTTTTATTTATTGTGTTTTTTAAAAACAGCTTTATTAAGACATAATTCATGATATGGTTTGGATCTGTGTCCCTGCCCAAATCTCATGTTGAATTGTAATCTGCAGTGTGGGAGCTGGGGCCTGGTGGGAGGTGGTTGGATCATTGAGGCAGGTTCTCATGGTTTAACACCATCCACCTTGGTACTGTTTTCACAATAGTGAGTTCTCGTGAGGTCTGGTTGTTTAAAAGTGTGTAGCACCACCCCCCTCTCTCCCTCCTTCTCCTGCTGTAGCCATATAAGACACTCCTGCTTCCCCTTCACCTTCTTCCGTGATTGAAAGTTTCCTGAGACCTCCCAGGAAGCCAAGCAGATGCCAGCATTGTGCTTCCTGTACAGCCTGCAGAATTGTGAGCCAGTTAAATCTCTTTTCTTTGTAAGTTGCCCAGTCTTAGGTATTTCTTTATAGCAATGTGAGAATGGACTAATACAATTCACATACCATAAAATTCAACCAGCAAAATATAGAATTCTTGAGTTTCTGATATATTCACAGGGTTGTACTAACATCACCACAATCTAAATACAGAATATTTTCATCAGCCCAAAATGAAATCCACATTATTTCCACTACCCTAGCCCCAGGCAACCACTAATCTACTTTCTCACTCTGATTATTTATTTATTCCAGAGTTTTCATGTAAGTGAAATAATATGTGATTTTAACTCTTGAGGCCACACCGACCTCTCTTTTTAAACACAGTCTCTGCTACATGGTTAGAACTTTATACTTTTTACAGTGTTCCTTAATTGTGTCATGTATGTAAATCTTCTTTCCATCATGGCAGTAAGCCAATTGAGAATAAAGACCATTTGTTCAAGCATTCATTCATTTATTCAAAACATTTAAAGTGCCCTTTTCTTTGTAATCTATGAGCCATAATGTAACAAATACTTTGATTTGATTTGGACAAATATTTCTTCAACCAGAGCCTTACTTTGACCCTGTTGGCTTGTGTTATTGTCCTAACACAGTTATTTTTCCTGAAGGTCATTAAAACTAATTTTCTCTGGTATATTTTAATTTCTCACATTTAATATTCTATAACTTTATTTTTAGAAAACAGTATATTCTTATTAGTATTAATTTGAGCATATTTAGTATTCTATTTAGCATGATTTTTCTGTTTCCTTTCTCTTTTTCTGCTTTCCATTGGATCTACTTTCTTTAATTTCCTCTAATACTTTGGATTATACACTTACCTTGTAAATGGTTATCTGTAAATTTTTAACATTAATACTTGATCTCAGATGATAAATGTATTTACTGTCCTTTGGGATAATACAAAAATCTGTTTTTGTTTTGTTTTGTTTTGTTTTTGAGACAGAGTTTTGCTCTTGTTGCGCAGGCTGGAGTGCTATGACGCGATCTCAGCTCACCGCAACCTTTGCCTCCTGGGTTCAAGCAATTCTCCTGCCTCAGCCTCCTGAGCAGCTGGGATTACAAGCATGTGCCACCACACCCAGCTAATTTTGTATTTTTAGTAGAGACAGGGTTTCACCATGTTGGTCAGGCTGGTCTTGAACTCCTGACCTCAGGTGATCCACCCGCCACAGCTTCCCAAAGTGCTGGGGTTACAGGCATGAGCCACTGCACTGGGTACCGATAATACAAAGATCTTAGAATGCTTTTAGTTTGATCATCCTCTTTTTTATGATGTTGACACCATCCTCTTTCTGTCATACATGTAATTATTAATTCCTTTTCTGTATCCATACTGTTCTTATATCCCTCAAACTAGTTATAATTATTATTAATAGTTAATACTTGTTTCGATTCAAGTACAGGTTTGCCAGTTGTGTTGCTTATCTTTATTTTCTCCATCTAACTTCTTCGCCTGGGTTCAATTTACTTCTTCCTGAACTCTATCCTATTGGTGGTGTTTATATGACTGTTTTAGTCTCACCTTATTCTGGAATGACAGGTTAGTTGGATGTGAGACTCTTGATTGACAGTTATTCTTCCTTGGCTCATTTTTACTATTGAGAAGTATGGTATTAATTTGGTATTCTTTTCCCTCTAATTGTTTATATTTTATTAGTCCTTTTCTTTGTTTATACTGCATATTGCTTAAAAATATGTATGTTGCTTAAAAATGCCTTCTATACCACACAATTATAAATAAATTCTACTACATATTTTCTAACAACTTTATAATTTTATTTCTTACATTTCCCTCTTTTATGTATTTGAAACCTATTTTTATGTATGGTGTAAGGTGGTGTTTTAGGCCTTTTATGTGTTGCGGTAAAGAAATACCTGGTCAGGGCCAGGCGCAGTGGCTCACGCCTGTAATCCCAGCACTTTGGGAGGCCGAGGTGGGCGGATCACAAAGTCAGGAGATGGAGACCATCCTGGCTAACACGGTGAAACCCCATCTCTACTAAAAATACAAAAAGTTAGCTGGGCATGGTGGCAGGTGCCTGTAGTCCCAGCTACTTGGGAGGCTGAGGCTGGAGAATGGCGTGAACCTGGGAGATGGAGCTTGCAGTGAGCCAAGATCGTGCCACTGCATTCTAGATTCTAGCCTGGGCGACAGAGTGAGACTCTGTCTCAAAAAAAAAAAAAAAAAAAAGAAATACCTGAGGCTGAGTAATTTGTAAAGAAAAGAGGTTTAATTTAGCTTGTGCTTCTGCAGGTTGTACAGGCATGGCTCCAAGATATGCTCTTGATGAGGGCCTCAGGAAGCTTGCAATCATGGCAGAAAGCAAAGGAGGAATAGATGTGTCACATGGTGAGGGCGGAAACGAGAGAGAGAGGAGGTGCCATATGCTTTTAAACAACCGGATATCACTTGAACTCAGAGTGAAAACTCACTCATCAATGGGGGATGATGCTAAGCTATTCATGAGGGATCAGCGCCCATGATCAGACACTTCCCACCTCCAACGCTAGGGGTTACATTTCAACATGACATTGGAGGGGACAAACATCTTAACCATATCAAGTGGCAAACCTAACTTAAAAAGATAACACTGAATTCAAACTCCTGATGCAATATTGGGAAGAAGAGTTTATTTTAACATCTGTATTTTTTAGTGCCCTTATGGAGTGGGGTGAATGTTGCTGGTGTTGCTCTGAAGACTCTGGACCCTAAATTAGGAACAGATTCAGATAAGGAACACTGGAAAAATATCCATAAACAAGTTATTCAAAGGTAATAGTCCCTATTAAGTTTCTTAATGCCCTAATAATCAGTCTTAAGAATACATATCACAGACAAAAATCAAATAGTTGATCTTTGCCTTTTGTGAGATAAGTAACTCTAGTCTTCTGAAAATCACTAAATTCAGGCTTATACATAGCTTTCTTTTTGGGGGCATTTGTCAAAAAGAAAAAGTACTTATTATTTCACAACTCATATATTTGAGAGTAATAAAAGCACAGTGATTATGACAATGGACTTTGGAGCCAGGTTGTCCAGGTTTGAAACCTTCATCATTTATTAGTGATATGATATTGGGAAATTACTTAAAATATCAGAAGTTGTTTACTCATCTTCAAAATGGGGATAATTATAGAACCTACTTTACAGGGCTACTATAGAGAGTAAATAAGTTAGTACTATTTTATGTAAAATGCTAGAACCATGCCAATAACTTATTAAATGTTCATCATTTGACTAGATGAAACATTAGGCTAATGCAGATGGTCAGAAATCAATATGGTTTTCTTATAAGTGAAGCATCTGACTCCATATGTATTAGCCTTAACAGCACGCAGGATTATTCTTCATGCTTTAGTCAAGAGTCAAGTTACATATTAATAGAAGTTATAGAACTTAAAAATTGGCTGGGTGGGGGGTGGCTCACACCTGTAATTCCAGCACTTTGGGAGGCCAAGGCGGGTGGATCACCTGAGGTCAGGAGTTCGAGACCAGCCTGACCAACATGGTAAAACCCTGTATCTAAAAATACAAAAATTAGCTGGGTGTGTTGATGGGTGCCTGTAATCCCAGGTACTTGGGAGGCTGAGGCAGGAGAATCGCTGGAACCCAGGAGGCAGAGGTTGCAGTGAGCCAAGACAGCGCCATTGCGCTCCAGCGTGGGTGACAAGGGTGAAACTCCATCTCAAAAAAAAAGTTAAAAATCACTTTTGGATGTTCACAGCTTGGAATATTGAACTTAACAAAAACCACAAGTCTACTATATGTATACTTATGATAAAACCCTACAAAAATGTGTAAGAGACCGGGTGCGGTGACTCACGCCTATAATCCCAACACTTTGGGAGGCCAGGGTGGGCAGATCACCTGAGGTCAGGAGTTCGAGACCAGCCTGGCCAACATGGTGAAACCCGTCTCTACTAAAAAAATAAATAAATAACAAAAATTAGCCAGGTGTGGTGGTGTGTGCCTGTAATCCCACCTACTTGGGAGGCTGAGCCATAAGAATTGCTTGAACCCAGGAGGCGGAGGTTGCAGTGAGCCAAGATTGTGCCACTGCACTCTAGCCTGGGCAACAAAGCAAGACTCTGTCTCAGAAAAAAATAAATAAATAAATAAAATAATAGGCTGGGTATAGTGGCTCATGCCTGTAATCCCAGGATTTTGGGAGACCAAGGTGGACCGATCATGAGGTCAGGAGATCAAGACCATCCTGGCCAATATGTTGAAACTCTGTCCCTACTAAAATGCAAAAAAAAAAAAAAAAATTAGCCGACTCTGGTGGTGCGCACCTGTAATCCCAGCTACTTAGGAGGCTGAGGCAGGAGAATCGCTTGAACCCGGGAGGCAGTGGTTACAGTGAGCTGAGATCTCACAACTGCACTCCAGGCTGGTGACAGAGCAAGACTCTGTCTCAAAGAAGACAAACGAACAAACAAATAAAATAATAATAAAACAAAAATGTGTAAGAATTAGGGCAGAGACTAAAAAGTCACATAACAAAAAAGTGATCATGGGTGAGTTTTTATTCTCTTAAATGCCTTTTAGTTTTAAAAGTTTATATTATTTTATTTTTGGTTGCAAAAAGTAACATGGCAATGTGTATGAGTACAGAGCTTCAGTTTGGGAAGATGAAAACATTTGAGAGAGGATAGTGGTAATGACTGCACAGCAGTGTTAATGTACTTAATGCCACTAAACTGTACACTTAAAAAATTGTTAAGATGATAAATTTTACCACAGTTAAAAAAGCAGTTAAGGCTGGGTGCAGTGGCTGACATCTGTAATCCCAACACTTTGGGAGGCTGAGGTAGGAGGATTGTTTGAGGCCAGGAGTTTCAGATCAGCTGGGGCAACAGAGTGAGATCATGTCTCCACAAAAAATTTTTTAAAATTAGCCAGGCATAGTAGTATGCCTGTAGTCCCAGCTACTGGGGTACCTGAGGCAGGAATATCACTTGAGCCCAGGAGTTTTAGGCTCAATTCAAACTAGCAGAGGTATGATCACACCACTGCACACTAGCCTGGACAGCAGAGAAAAATCCTGTCTCTCTAAAAAAAAATTAAAATTAAAATTAAAAAAATTAAAAAATTAACATTGCATACCTGTAGTCTTAGCTACCTGGGAGGTTGAGATGGGAGGATTACTTGAGCCCAGGAATGCCAGGTTGCAATGAACAATGATAGTCCACTGCATTTCAACCTGGGCAACAGAGTGAGACCTTGTCTCTTAAATAAAACAAAAACAAAAACCCAAACAACAACAATATTAAAAGTATATAGCCACTAATTGTTGTCTGAAATTCACACTGTCCAACTCACAGGACATAACAGGTTTTCACCTTGCAATAAGTTTATCTAGTATGGTGAAAGGATACCAGGAAGAAAACACAGTATAGCATATCGGTATCTTCTTTAGAAGGTATTTCAATGTGGCCGGGTGTGTTGGCTCATGCCTGTAATCCCAGCACTTTGGGAGGCTGAGGTATGTAGATCACTTCATAAGGTCAGAAGTTTGAGACCAGCCTGGCGCAACATGGTGAAACCCTGTCTCTACTGAAAATACAAATTTTAGCTGGGCTTGGTGGCAGGCGCCTGTAATCCTAGCTATTCGGGAGGCTGAGGCATCACTTGAACCCGGGAGGTGGAGGTTGCTGTGGGCTGAGATCACACCGCTGCACTCCAGCCTGGGTGACAGAGGGAGACTCCATCTAAAAACAAAACAAAACAAAACAACAGTATCGCAATGCTTAGGTGTAGCTTCTAGGCCCTGTCACTGCATGGGGCACACTCAATTATAAAGGAGGAAGCTGACATGGGGGCAGACTTCCCCAAGACAGGAAAGTGGCTGCCTTTGGTTCTCAATGTTGTTTGTTTGTTTGTTTGTTTGTTTTTAACTGCAAAAGAAGGAAATTCTCAACAGTTCTTATGTGCACTTCTTGTCACATAGCCCTCAGGGTCTGCATACTTGATCCCAGCCCTGCTGGTCCTGATACAACGCACAAATCAATGGTTTCATAAAATCCAGTGCTGACAACCTAGTTCTGTTATAGTTAATAGTCCACATTTTTCTTAACTAATTTTTATGTCTAGAAAACTATGTTGCCTGAACTCAAACTCAAGGTTATCTTCCCAGTTACTTCTGGCTTTTTTGAAAGGACTCATATCCCTTTACCCTCGGTACCTTTCCATGACCTCAGATTATTATCTTTGTATCATATATTCTTCAGAGTTCATTTGACAAACATTTCTTCAATATCTTATAAATAGAAAAAGACAAGTTAGTACATCTACAACCAGTAGAATCTATAAGATACAGTAGTTAAACAGAATCTCTCACAACGTTTTGGTAATTCTTAACCAACTAGACTGTCTTTTCTCCCCCTCTGTCATTTACTATCACTTGTGTCTTATTAAAGGTATTGATACACACTTTTAATCACATGTTTTATCTCTCTCTTTTTCTTTTTTTTTTTTTTGAGACAGAGTCTTGCTCTGTTGCCCAGGCTGAAGTGCAGTGGTGCACTTTTGGCTCACTGCAACCTCTGCCTCCTGGGTTCAAGTGATTCTCGTGCCTCAGCCTCCCGAGTAGCTGGGACTACAGGAGCGCACCACCACACCTGGCTAGTTTTTGTATTTTTAATAGAGACGGGGTTTCACCATGTTGGCCAAACTGGTCTCGAACTCCTGACCTCAGGTAATCTGCCCACCTTGGCCTTCCAAAGCCACCATGCTCGCCCTGTTTTTATATTTCTAAAGCAAATGTATTTCTTCTTTTGGCTAAACTATTTCCATAAGTATCACATCAATCGAAAGTTTTAAGTCAGTTTGCCAAAATACCTTTTACTTTGGTAATCATTTTGGTATGTTTTATTTTCTTAAATTCTCTTAAGGGAACCTACAAATGCTTTGTTTCACCAAAAAGCTTTGAATAAGAGGTTAAATTAATCCCTAGAAAACACAATATGTATTAATATTATGGTATCTTTTCCTATCCTTCTCAAAAAAAATGTTCCTTATCCCCATATATTTTCAGCTATAGGGGCCAGGAGACCAGTCTCCAATAAATACAGGGATCTAACTGGTCTGGAGGCACATCCTTACGCCTCACCCACTAAGGAATCTGTGTTAACCAATAGTGGTTTCTAAGTGTTATGGAGCAGTCCATCTACCTCCTGTAGGGATGTCACAGTGTTGGTCTTTTATCTACCCAGTGACTAATAATTGTACCACAGAGAATGGTAGTTTTTTCTTTTTCTCTTTCTTTCTTTCTTTTTTTTTTTTTTTTTTTTTTTTTTTGAGACAGGGTCTGGCTCTGTCATCCCGGCTAGAGTGTAGTGGCTTGATCTTGGCTTACTGCAACCTCTAACTTCCAGGCTCAAGCCATCTTCACACCTCAGCCTCCTGAGTAGCTGGGAATATAGGTGCATGCCACCATGCCTGGCCACTTTTTGTATTTTTGGTAGTGGTGGGGTTTCACCATGTTGCCCAGGCTGGTCTCAAACTCCTGAGCTAAACCAATCTGCCCACCTCGGCCTCCCAAAGTGTTGGGATTACAGGTGTGAGCCACTGCGCTCGGGCAGTTCCTTTTTAATTTGAGACACTTGCTTTAAGGGAACAAGGATTAAGATCACATTTCCCATTGAAATCCTGTGTGATTTGAATACCAAATATTCCAATGTGTTTTAGATCAGTACTAAACACTATTGGTCCTCTCAACTCTGTAGTATCTAAAATTAAATTATTTACCTCTTGATCATTTCGCAGAGGATCTATAATTATAAACAATCTTCAGGGTGCTGCTAATATTTATCTAAAAACTACTCAGCTCTTTTTACACAACAGCCTCTGATTTGCTAGTAACCAATTGCAGAGGAATGACATCATGATTTAATAGGATGTCCTTACTGGTTCCCAAGAGGACATTTGGTTTACAATGTGTATCAGTTTTTGTCTTAAAGTACCAGCCTTGAAACTATTTCTTCTGTTTGCTCCCTTTACCTTTCTTTTACAACAGCAGTTTTATTTTCATCAAGATGGTTAATAACAACTAAAGGATTATGTTTTTAGCCATTCTCAACTTTCTTCTCTTTCTCTATCCATTTTGTTAATACCCGAGATGATAAATCTGTTATCCAGATTCAACTGGTGAGATTTGTCCCCAGTTATCTACTGTAGAGCTTTCTTTACTTCAACTCATAGACAGTATGCTGTCAGTCAGGTGCCAGGCAGATCCTCTTTCCCTTTCCTTTTACTTACCTCCAGAGTCTTGGCCATATAGAATTGAGGGTCTAAAAGTACTTTTGTCATCAAAAGTATTGCATGGCCTCTGATAGTGGCCCTGATTTTGGACTGATAGTCAAATCATAGGACACTATTGTAGGAACAGTCCAGGCCCAACCTCCTGTGCTCAGGTGTGTGTATATATATGTGTATATATATATGTATATATATGTATGTCTCAGCTTCCCGAGTAGCTGAGACTACAGGCATGTGCCACCACACCCAGCTAATTTTTGTATGTTATACAACATAGCTAATGTTTCGCTATGTTGGCCATACCCCATCTGTGTGTGTGTGTGTATATATAAAATCAGCATTATCTTTGGCAACCAAGTGTGTTATGTGCATTCCTGGGGCTTTAAAACTGGGTAGTTGTAAGACTTCGTCATATGAACGATATGCTAACTGGGTAGTTGTAAGACTTCGTCATATGAACGATATGCTGTGCAGTCTGTGCTTTTTGTCCTATAGCCTTTCTAAAAGTTAAATAAACTTAGTGCTAAATTAAACCCTCTTTGTCCAGTGAATTTGACTGTCAATCCAAACCTGAGGCCACTATTTGTAGCAATGCAAATATATAATAAATATTAATTGTAGAAAATAAGAAAATTCAGATAGGCATAAGAAGACTCACCTGTAAGGCTGTCTTGTAAAAATAAACACTATTAATAACTTGGTGGCTTGATGCAACTCTAAAGTTTGTATAAAAATTTATATTTTTTACAAGCCAGAGATAAGAAAGTGCATGTTTAGTATTGTGGTATTTTCCTTTGAAAATGTATCATAAATATTTTCCATATTCACTTATTATTGATTTAGTGATATATTCTTAGGAAAGATATATACACACAACTTACAACTATATAAATTTACATTGGCAAACTAGTAACAATTTTTTTTTTTGGTACAGAGTCTCACTCTGTCACCCAGGCTGGAGTGCAATGGTATCGTCTAGGCTCACTGCAACCTCTGCCCCCCAGGTTCAAGTGATTCTCCTGCCTCAGCTTCCCGAGTAGCTGAGACTACAGGCACGTGCCACCACACCCAGCTAATTTTTGTATTTTTAGTAGAGATGGGGTTTCGCTATGTTGGCCAGCATTGGCCAGGCTGGTCTTAAACTTCTGACCTCATGATCCACCCACCTCGGCCTCCCATAGTGCTGGGATTGCAGGTGTGAGCCACTGACCCTGGCCACTAGTAACAATTTTAAACAGTTCAAGAGATTTATATGGTAACTTTCAAGGTGATTAGTTTCTATGTTGCATATCTAAGCAACAATACAAAAAATATTAAAAGCTAGTTTCATCTTGAGTGGCGCATTTGTCCTACTATTCTGCCTTTATGTTAAAAAAAAAAAAGGGTGAATTAATTTTTACTTAAAGTAAGTAGGCTGGGCACGGTGGCTCACGCCTGTAATACCAGCACTCCGGGAAACCGAGGCGGGCAGATTGCTTGAGCTCAGAAGTTCAAGACCAGCCTGGGCAACATGGCAAAACCCCGTATCTACAAAGAACACAAAAATTAGCCAGGCATAGTGGCTCATGCCCTTGCTCCCAAGTAGCTACTTGGGAAGCTGAGGAGGGAGGACCGCATGAGCCCAGGAGGCAGAGGTTGCAGTGAGCCATGATCACACACCACTGCCCTGCAGCCTGGGCAAGGAAGCAAGACCCTGTCTATAATAATAATAATAATGATAATCAATAAAAAAGTAAATTAAAGTATGTAGTGAAGTTTTATGAGACCAGTACAGAAAGTTTTGTTGCCTGTTTATAAATTCTGTAAGAAATCTATGAGAAAATTTTAATAGAATTGCATTGACATGTAGATTACTTCAAAATGGATGCTTGAAGAATATTATGTTTTCTCTGGGTTGACTTATTATGAATTTGATTTTCTTACTTTCTACAACTGTAGTGCCTATGAGATTATCAAGCTGAAGGGGTATACCTCTTGGGCTATTGGACTGTCTGTGATGGATCTGGTAGGATCTATTTTGAAAAATCTTAGGAGAGTGCACCCGGTTTCCACCATGGTTAAGGTAGGCTTAAATTAAATCTTTGTTTATCATTCTTTCCTTTAATATTTATTGAGTCACTACTATATGCCAGGCAGTGTACAAGGTGTTGAGGATATAATAGTGAATAAAAAATACAGAGAACTTGACCCCAGGTCAGGTCAAAAAAATACAGATACCTTGACCTAAGGAAGGGAATCCTGAAAGAGAACCAAGTTTGAAGATCACGTTTACAGTTTTGGACACAGTTTTGAGCCCTGGCATGTAAACAGTGTGAAGCCAACTCAAACTAGCTTATGCAAAAAGAAAATTTATTGACTTATGTAACTGAAATGCCAAGGAGGCCTGATTCTGGTACTCAAACTGTATTATGAGAGCTGTCTTTTCTCTCCATTCTCTTGGCTCATCTTTTTCCTCTATTGGCTTCCAACTCATGCAAACTTTTTCCATGGGGCAACAAAGACGGCTCCCAGTAGCTGCAGGCTTAGATCCTATAATACCTCTGGCTGAGAACCACTGGAGTAGACTGAGGAAATTAAGACAAGTGTAATAGCTATTTTTAGGAATTTGGCTGTGAAGATAAGGTAAATCAGGGCAAAAAGTTTGTTTGTTTTTTATACAGATAAGATGCTTATAGTAAAGATCAAATACCAAGGGAGAAGCTGAAGACAGAAGTGGTAAGCAGAGGGGAATGGAGTCCAGAGCATAGGTGTAGGCATTACCCCTAAAAGGAGGAGGGGCAGGAGTTAACAAAGAGGGAATGTGTACTGCTGCATGTAGATTTGTATATTTGGCATTGGAAGCATCTGATGACTTCTCTATTTTTTTTTTTTTTGAGATGGAGTCTCACTCTGTTGCCCAGGCTGGAGTGCAGTGGCGAGCTCTTGGCTCACTGCAAGTTCCACCTCCCGGGTTCACGCCATTCTCCTGCCTCAGCCTCCTGAGTATCTGGGACTACAGGCACCTGCCACCACACCCGGCTAATTTTTTTTTTTTTTTTTTTTTTGAGACGGAGTCTCGCTCTGTCGCCCGGGCTGGAGTGCAGTGGCCGGATCTCAGCTCACTGCAAGTTCCACCTTTCGGGTTCACTCCATTCTCCTGCCTCAGCCTCCCGATTAGCTGGGACTACAGGCGCCCGCCACCTCGCCCGGCTAGTTTTTTGTATTTTTTTTTTTTTAGTAGAGACGGGGTTTCACCGTGTTAGCCAGGATGGTCTTGATCTCCTGACCTCGTGACCTGCCTGCCTCAGCCTCCCAAAGTGCAGGGATTACAGGCTTGAGCCACCGCAGCCGGCTGATTTCTCTACTTTAGTGAAAGGAGCAGGATAACAGGAGTGGGAGCAGAAGGTGTTTCATAAGCAAAAAAAAGTCTAGAAACTGGAAAGAGAATTTTGGTTGGATTATTCATGTGTATATTGAAGTTAACAAGGATAATGGCAAAAATTGGGATAGACAGGGAAGACTGTGAGCCACGTGTCAGTCTGTGAATGAGATGGAATAACTAGGAGGTTAGTCATTACAAAGGGAGGAAGAGCTGAATTAGATGATGCCGAGACCAGCTCGGTTGGGGAGATCCTAACCCAGCAGCACTAGAGGAATTAAAAACACACATACAGAAATATAGAGGTGTGAAGTGGGAAATCAGGGGTCTCACCACCTTCAGAGCTGAGAGCCCTGAACAGAGATTTACCCATGTATTTATTAACAGCAAGCCAGTCATTAGCATTGTTTCTATAGATACTAAATTAACTAAAAGTATTCCTTATGGGAAACGAAGGGATGGGCCGAATTAAAGGAATAGGTTGGGCTAGTTAACTGCAGCAGGAGCATGTCCTTAAGGCACAGATTGCTCATGCAATAGTTTGTGGTTTAATAACGCCTTTAAGGGGTTTTCCACCCTGGGTGGGCCAGGTGTTCCTTGCCCTCTATCTGGTAAACCCACAACCTTCCAGCATGGGCGTCATGGCCATCTTGAACATGTCAGAGTGCTGCAGAGATTTTGTTTATGGCCAGTTTTGGGGCCAGTTTATGGCCAGATTTGGGGGGCCTGCTCCCAACATGTCCCTCCTTCTTTGATTTGCAAATTGATAAAAGCAAAGGCAGCTTTGTCACAGTGAGCTACTTCTCGCAGGAGTCAGGATACACATCTGCAGACTATACAAAGACAGACAACACAGATTAAAAGTGCAATCATTGAAATCACAGAGCTTTCAAGTGTTTTTATCCATTTTAATGGGTAACTAGCTGCTAATTTGTCTGTAACTCCTTTAAGCACTCTAGTTCTTGGCATTAAGGTCAGGTGTGCCTGGGATGCTTTAAATATTTGTTCTTTAATTTTGCAATATCCAAAGACAAGTTTGTAGAGTGTCTTTCTAGATGCTTTTTTATTCTTTCTCAAATTTTGATCTTATTAAGAGCTATTAATAGTTTCCACACATCCTTATGTTAAGCCCCTAGAGTGGGTCATATCATTTGAGGTTGAGGTGCCACTATACCGCCATGTTTCCAGATAATAGGAACTTTTTCGTACTTTTTATCATTTCTACTATCTGACCATTTTGTTTAGACCAACTGAATACAGTGTGGCCGTGGCATGCAGACTGAGAGGTGTAATTCAAGCTAAACATCCCCTTAGCGTACCAGTTAATAATGATTCCATAGGAATTGTTGTGCAGCACCTCTACCTGTTCTGCAGTGCAATCTTCCTAAACAAGTACTTTCATTATTTCTGGCCAGGTTCTATTTTGTTTATAAATAGGTTTTTGAGGGTGGTATGCCTCAACTATAGGAGCAGATTTATTATGATAAATACTGAGATCAGAAAGCATGTGTAACTGTGTCATAGAGTGATTAAATCCAGGCATTATTACCAGCCAGATTGATAAATATGCCCAATAAGTATAATTGTTCTCTGTGTCAGCCCTTGTTGAAGGAATACTCATGGCAGTGGTGATAACTGCTATCATAGCTACTATTAAATTATTCATTATGACTGGTTGTCCTGCTTTCCTCAGGTTTTCTTCCACCATCTGTGACAGCTTCTTGATCTGTCCCCAGGTGGGTGGCTGTGTTTGATGGGTGTTGCTCATGACAGTTGGTGTCCTCCTCAGCATCAGTCTCAACATGGCTGCAACCGAGGGGTCCTCGGGATCCTCCCGGAATCTCTTCCTCAGCATCTGGCTCATGATGAGGTTTCAGGTGTCTTGATTGTATCCAAATTGGCTGTTGATTTTGGCCTGGAGAAACGCAAGCATAACCTCTACCCCAAGTTATTATTTTATCTATTTCCCATCTTTCTGTTATTGGATCTGTCTACCAAATCAATTGTTCTGCTTCTGTCTTTGCAGCTGGTTTCTGTATATGCTGTTCAGCTGCTAATAACATCTGGCCTTTGGGCAGGCTCAAAAAATTTAAAGTTAATAATGCTAGATTCAGTTGCATCCGTGGGGTTCCATATTCTCTGTCTCCTCCTTTCTGCTTTTGCTACTGCTGTTTTAGGGAAAGATTCATTCTTTCCATGATCGCTTGTCCTTGAGAATTGTATGGGATACCAGTAATGTGTTTAATATTCCACAGAGAAAAATGTAGCTAGAGCTTGGCAGTATAGCCTGGGGCATTATCTGTTTTAATAGAAGCTGGAATGCCCATCACCACAAAACACTGCAAAAGATGACGTTTAACACAGGCAGAAGACTCTCCTGATTGGCATGTAGCCCAAAGTGAGAAAAGGTGTTCATACATACATGTACATAAGCTAGTCTCCCAAATGAGGGAACATGTGTGACATCCATTTGCCAAAGAGAGTTAGGTTCTAATCCTCAAGGATTAACTCCTCCTGTAAAAGATGAGGAGTGTACCATATGGCAAGTTGGGCATCACTGGATAATATTTTTAGCCTCTTTCCAGGTAATGCTGTATCTGTATTTGAGACCAGAGGCATTAACATGGGTTAAATTGTGAAAGTGTCTAGCATTAGATATTGCATTAGCAACTGGGTGATCAGCCATTTGATTCCCTTCAGTCAAAGGTCCTGGAGAAGGTGTATGGGCCCTAATGTGAGTGATGTAAAAAGGATGCATTCTACTTCTAACTGCTGTTTGCAGTTGGGTAAATAAAGTCATCAGTTGTTCATATTTATGAAATCATAACTGAGCATTTACAATTAACTGTGTGGAATGAATCACATATAGAGAATCAGAAATCACATTAATAGGCATATCAAAAGCAGTCAACACCTCAATTGCAGCTACAACCTCTACTTTTCGAGCTGAAGTATAGGGCATCTGGAAAACTTTACTTTTTGAGCCAGAATAAGAAGCTTTACCATTACTAGACCCATGTGTAAAAACAATGAAAACGCTTAGCAGGCTGCAGGTTGTTTACTGCAGGAATTGTAAATGCAAACTGTTCATAGTCTTGCTCAGCTAAAGAGATAGTAAAGAAACAGTCTTTTAAATCTATGACTATTAAAGGCCAATTTTTTGGAATTATAGCAGGAGAAGGCAATCGTGGCTGTAATGCTCCCATAGGTTGTATAACTGAATTGATTGCTCTTAAGTCAGTTAGCATTCTCCATTTACCTGATTTTTTCTTAGTTACGAAAACTGGAGAATTCCAAAGGGAAAATGTTGGAACTATGTGCCCATTTTCTAATTGTTCAGTAACTAATTTCTCTAAAGCCTCCAGTTTCTCTTTACTTAGCGGCCATTGTTCTATCCAAATTGGCTTATCTGTTAACCATTTTAAAGGTATAGGTTCTGGAGGCTTAACAATGGCTGCCATCAAAAATGATATCCTAAACCTTGGCGGGAACTTTATCTTTCCACTTGAAGCGGTTTTTTAAACCTTGCAAGTTTTTTTCTAGTCCCATACCAGGGACATACCCCATTTAATGCATTGTATGTTGACTTTGAGGGCTGTATAATTGTTCTGGAATTAGAACTTGTGCTCCCCATTGTAATAAATCTCCCCCCCCCCCATAAATTTATAGGTACAGAAGTATAATTGGTTGAATAGTCCCAGGTT